CATCCTCTCTTCCCCAGGATCACATGGCAACTCTCCTTAACTGCATTTCCCAGAATTATCCTTCTTTCCTAGTCCTGCCAATCTTGCTTCCCTATTGGACAACAGTGTTTTATTCATTAACCAATAAGGGAGACATATACACAGAAGGACTTCCCCCATCATGAATTTGAAAGAGCAAGGAGTGGTGTATGCAAGGGTTTGCAGGGAGGGAAGGGAAAGGAGAAACAATATATCTACTATAATCTCAAAAATAAAAGAAATAATTTTTATTTTATTTTACATACCAATCCAAGTTCCTCCTCCCTCCTCTTCCTGAGTCCTCCACCTTCCCCCATCCCACCCTCCATCTACTCCTCAGAGGCGATAAGGTCCCCTCTTGGGGCATCAATGAAGTCTGGCATACCAAGTTGAGGCAGGACCAAGCCCTTCCCCCTGTATCTAGCTGAGCAAGGTATCCCATCATAGGAACTGGGCTCCAAAAAGCCGGTTCATGCACCTGAAATAGTTCCTGGTCCCACTGCCAGCTCCCACCCCCCAACAGATCAAGCCACATAACTGTCACCCACATTCAGAGGGCCTACTTCGCTTCCATGCAGGTTCCCCAGCTGTCAGTTCAAAGTCCATGAGCTTCCACTAACTCCAGTCAGCTGTCTGTGTGTGGTTTTCTCAATCATGATCTTGCCCCCCCTCCATTTATATGATCCCGCCTCCCTCTCCTCAACTGAACTTCAGGAGCCCAGCCCAGTGCTTGGCTGTGGATCACTGCATCTGCTTCCACCAGTTACTGGATGTAGATTCTATGATGACAATTAGGGTAGTCATTAGCTGATTATAGAGGAAGGCCAGAAGTAATTTTTAAATGCTAAATAACAAAAGATAAATTTGGGTGGGCAGAGAAGGCAGCAGAGTGGGTCTCGGGGGAGTTGAGGCAGGGATGACTCTGATCAAAAGACATGATACAAAATTATCAAAGAAGTAATAAAAAAGGAAGAAAGAATATGGCTGGAATAAGCCACATGAATTAAACATGTGGATATTTCATAAATATACCCAAACAACCAATGAAATAAACAAATCAAAAGATAAACAATATTATCAACCATCAATAAAGTATAAATTAGCACCATAATAAGATGATACTTACACTAACTAAATTGTCAATAAATGAAAGAATTTACTGCAGCAAGGCCTATTTTGATACGATGTTGGTGGGTGTGTAAGCTGTTACAAGCACTTTAGAAAATCCGAAGTATATGAAAGTATCTGAAAAACTTACATACAGAATTTTTATTCGTGGAAAGAAGAGTGATATAGGAATGTGCAGAGAGAGAGAGAGACACCCAAGAAGGATGTTGATAGATTATTTTCAATAGCAGAAACAACAAAGAACCAGTGTGTTTGGTTTATCAACAAATGCAATTATCAACAGGTGAGGGGATTCTAAGAACATGGTGCATTCGTATGATGAGAAACAACTTACAATAAAAATGAGTAAACTACTGATACAATAGGCAGGATAAAGACCGGCATAATTGGGCTGGAGAGATGGCTCAGAGCTTAAGAGCACTGACTGCTCTTCCAGAGGTCCTGAGTTCAATAAGATGTCCCAGCAACCACATGGTGGCTCACAACCATCCGTTATGAGATCTGGTGTCCTCTTTTGGTGTGCAGATATACATGGAAGCAGAATGTTGTGTACATAATAAATAAATAAAATCTTAAAGAAAAAGACCAGCATAATTATATTTGAGAAGCCAAATAAAAACACCACATTGCTTTGATTTCATTTACATGAAGGGAAAACAGGTAGAACACATGTATCTGTGATAGGAGTTAGAATAGTGTTGACCTTTGGGAGAGTGAAATGACTAGGACACATGTCATGTGTTCTGGGCCCTGAATTAGATGGTGTCTGAAAAGGAATATGCATTTCTAAAACACACCAGTACACAGTGAAGACTCATGAATTCTGTGCAGTTTTGTGGATGTATTTTTTACTTCAGCTAAGGTAGTAAGCCCGACAAGCTTTTCAAATGATTGTTTCGTTTGTGTAAATTACATGCATGTGCAGGTACCCACAGAGGCCAGAAGAGTCAGGTCTGCTGGTTCTGCAGTTACAGGCCACTGTGAGCTATCCAGTGTGGGTGATGGGAACTAAACTTGGATCCTCTGGAAGAACAGCAAGTGATTTTGACTGTTGAGCCATCTAGCTCCCTCATCCCCCGAGCAAACAAAACCAAGAAAAAAAAAAAACAGATTTCAATAAAAGCAAATAGTATCACTTAATAAAATTCCATAATCAGGAAGAAAAAAGATAAGGCAGGAATGCAGATTCTCAGTTCTTACACCCCATGCAGTAAGCAGGTTGCAGAGGTGTGCTGAACTGGCAGGCTGCAGGAACACAATGGTACACGCAGGATTTAGGTTCAGTTAAACAGCCTGAGCAGCCGGCATTAGAAGCAATAGCTCTTCGGCTCCAATGGAAGGCTCAGCCGATACCAAAGGGCCCTTAAAACTTCAAAGACTAGAGGGGAGAGCAGCCTTGGGGCAGTCTATCTGAACTCTTAAGTCTGGTGGCCTCCAGCAATCAGAAAAGACCTCTTGGCACTCAGCTTTCCTTTTGCTCTGCCAGCAGACCTTTGGAGGATGTCCTTGGCATAGACTGGCAAGGAGGCTAGTACTTTGCCTGCCATCCATGGAAAAGCATTCCCAGTCAGTGTAGGCTTTCTTTCTGTGGAGAGGTTTTCACGGCATGACCACAAACTAACGCTAGGTAAAACACTTTTAAGGGCATTAGAAAACTACTTGAAATCCTTTCTGCAGGAACAGTTTGTTCAAGAACTGAATGAGGATTTAAAAAAAAAAAAACTCAAAAAATCACATCCTCATACATTGCTATCTGAAATAACTAGTTGTTGCTGTTTGCCCAAAGCTGGCTCAGTCGGGGTGTGGGTCCGGAGGTTTAGTCGAATCAAGAACATCACCATAAACATCTAGTCCTTGTAGTTGTAAGCATGGAGGGAGTTCTAGGATGTCGTTATAAAGGAGGGGCATTAGTGTTTGTGGTCACACAGAGACTTGTTAAAATCTCACAGACTGCTTTCAACAGCAAGGCCAAAAGTGATTTTTTAGAGTTGATGTACTGCAAAAAGTAACAGAAAGCCCCAACTGCACACTCCTTTCTTGGTACACATCCATACTTAGGTGGCAGCATGCTGCTGATGATTTGATCTCATTTGATATTTACAAATTTCCAGAAAGTAGGTATGCGGTTGAAATCCAGTGAATGAAAGAATTGGGACTAAAATTCAGATGTTTTAGTTAATATACTTTGGTTGCTCTGGTTGTTAGGACTTGAATTATCCAAAGAAAATTTGCTGCTGTTGAATTTGCAAATCTGACACACTCAAACAAGTAAGTGTTCCTTCTGTTTCATCATGATTGGAACTCCTTGCATTTATACAAGAGTGCTTGCATATGGCTCCATTAGGCAAGCCATCCAAGAACTGTGGATCACTTGGAGCTCTTGTTCTATGTGATCAAAATCAGAAGCCCAAAGAAAGCAAGGCAAGTTGGTTAACATTTTGTTTGAGGCTGAGGAAGTGCCAGAAAACCTTATTAAATTATAGTGACAATCTCAAATGCTAAAGAAGCATTTTCTATATATAATATAAATACATATAGAATTATATTAAAATATAATTTTCTATATTTAATATAAAACACACAAGCTAATTTTAAGAAGGAGATGACTTAAAACAAATGTTTCTTAAACCATTCAGCATCTGAGGTGATTAACAATAAACTTTTCTGTTTTTTATACTCATTTTTCTCCATTGCCTTATGAAGACATTATTTACATTCATCTTTATTTCTGTTTAGTTATGCATCTTTTAGCCATACAAACAGTTAAATAACTACCAAAAATAATCAGGATATAGAATAGTCTCACCACTGCCCCTATTCTATATCATGCTCATACAAGCACATAACATATATCATTTTCATACAAGCACAAATTATAGCAGCTGCAAATACAAGAGTTCAGTAGTATATACTAACCATTGGTATTTGTGCATTATTTGCCCTAAAATTGCCAATTGTAAATTACAGGCAGAGAGGGGTTAGTATATTCTGAATGCTGGTGTTCTCCCCAAGCTTGCATCTCTAGTTCTATGTTATTAGGGAATGTGGCTTTGGGGAATTAAGACACAAGAACACAGCCCTTATGAATAGGATTAGTGCCCTAATAAAAGAGGCTTCTGAGAGTTTCTGCTTTCCTTCTGTCTTAAAAAAAAACAAACACCACCCGTGAGTCAGAAATGGGTCCCACCTGATACCAATCTGCCAATATCATGACTTTGGAGTCCTTTGCCTTTAAATGGAGATTAAGAGAGAGATAAGTTGCCTACACTTTGGATCTAAGAAAGAATGGTAATCTAGCAATTACCATTGCTTTCTTTTTCTAGGATACACAATGATGAGATCTGCATACTTACATGATGCCCTCATCTATGTACATGGAACCAAGGAAGTTTTGCCACCCAGGAAAAGAACTTCCTGATAATGGGCCCCAGCTTTTCCATTATCAAATAAAAACATTACTCCCCCTTTCTGTTAGCAACAAAGCCCTTCATTATCACTTAGCTCAGTGAGAAGCTTTTCAATCCTATATTAACACTCCTATTTTACAGCAGAATTTTGTTAAAAAACAAATTTGCACAACTGAACTGTGCCATGCTTGTTGGAATAATTAATTCTACTATTATGCGATTCAAGGCCCAATTTGGTCATAAAGCAAAGGATGCTTAGTTTTATCAATGGGCAAGCCTTCCTGAATTGAAACCCCAAAGAGGACGAGAGGGTGATTAATCTGATGAGGGAAAATCCACTTCTGTTATCGTCATCCAGCTGTGTATACAGCAAGCATTATTATATTTTAGCATGCTGGGAAGAATTATCTTGATTGAATGATAGTCAATAAAAATTCTCTTTTAAAGGATTGCTATTGTGGGGTCCAGTCTGATTTCCAGAAACTGAGGAGACATGCTGAGAAGTTAGAAAAATATATTGTACAATAAAGCACTATGAAGTATCAAAAAGGTAAGCCCTTCTCCATTAAAAATGCAGAATTTTTCAATGCAGAATTCTTTGAAAAATTACATTTACTGTTTGTTCCCACTTGATGCTGTACATTATTTAATGCTTTTCATCATATCTGCAGTAGATTGGCATAATAAACACAATTAAGTGAAAAATTATAGTTATACACTCTATATCAAGAGGAAGAAGAGATAGATTCATAATAAAAATATAACTCAAAGGAATTAAAACTCATTCTATCAGCAATTAAAATGAATATTTAAGTTACAAGGTTATTCAGCCTGGGAAGACCAGCTGAGTTAATTTATAGTTATTTAATTAACTCCATAGGGTGAGATCCACTCTTGATACTCTGTGAATATAATATTTATATTGCTAATTATAAAACTGATTTAAAATATTAAAGGTAATATAAATGCATGTTGTAAAGCCATTCTTTCTTAGATCAAATAGCCCATAACAAGTTGCAAACCTGACACAACACCCATTGAAAGCTTTCCTTGGGAACCTCACTGGGGGGGGGGGAGCATGAGTGCAGGAAGAGAAGAGGGAAATGGAGCATCTCTCTCTGGTTTCATTGTTTGTGGTGGTGCTGGGGCTGGTGACCAGTGTAGTGTAATCTAAAGAGGATATTTCACTCCGTTTTCAGTCTTGGCTAAAAGCAACATAGAACCCACAACAGGAAATGTCTTGCTCTTTGAAAGAAGGGAGCCAGTGACAGACGATTCTTCAATTATATTTACTTAATGTATTTAAAAACTTCATCTCATTCCCCTACTAACTATACTGATGCTTTTTTGAGTTTTAAAATTGCATTATGTGTGTGTGTGTGTGTGTGTGTGTGTGTGTGTGTGTGTGTGAGAGAGAGAGAGAGAGAGAGAGAGAGAGAGAGAGAGAGAGAGAGAGAGGGAGGGAGAGAGAGGATGTGTGAGTACCGAGTACTCATGTGTATGTTTGTGAACTTACAAGTAAGTGCCAGAGCACTGATGTGGTAGTCAGAAGAAAGCTTGCTGGAGTCCATTCTCCTCTCCCACTATGTGCATCCTAGGGATGGAGCTCTGGCCATTAGGCTTTGTGGGAAGCACCTTTACTCGCTGGACCATCTCAGTGCTCCAGTTATTGCTTTTGCGGTTTCTTGTAAAACTTAAAAGCCATATCAGGCCCTTGTCTACACTTAGCCCACATCAGGTCCTTATCTATGTAAGAATTCACTCCATTCATGAGTTCACCCAAAAGTCAGTCTACATACACGGTATAATGAGGGTTATTATTGGAATGCCCATGCTTTCTTAACAGGAGAGAGAGAGAGAGAGAGAGAGAGAGAGAGAGAGAGAGAGAGAGAGAGAGAACATGGTTGAGTTTCAAAGGCAAAATGCTCTTAATAAAGAATCTAATGCAATTGTTACCAAATGATGAATGGCTACGAAAAATTTGGTACACATACATAACAGAACACTATTCAGCCATATAAAAGAATGAAGTTCTGCCATTTGTAACAGCATGAATGAAATAACTGAGTAAAACTTAGGAAGTAAGCCAGATAAAGAAGGTTAATTGTCACACAGTTTCACTAATATATGGAATCTAAAAATACTGACCTCATAGAAGCAGGAAATAGAGCAAAGGTTGCTAGAGATTGAGTTATGAAAGGAGGTAAAGAATGGGTGGTGAGTCCAAAGATACTAAACAGAGGCAGGAAGTTGTGGTGTGCTGTTGCTTAGCTGGATAGCCACAGACAACAGCAACATGATGCTCATGTTATAAAGCCCAAAGAAGTTATTCTGAATGTTTTCTCCATAAATAGATGTTAAAAATCTGTCAAAGTAGTTATGCCTAGGGGGGTTAAATATTGTACAATGTACATGAGATAACAAAATATCACTCCCCATTAATATATACAAATTTCTTTGGTTGTACATCACTTAAATGTGTTTTTTAAAGTAGTGCTACCTTCTTCTAGGAACAGAGAAGGAAGTGCTTGCTAGTTGCTGATATTTATTGATTAGTTAATTGCAGAGCATGGTGTCTGTACAATTTATTCTATGCTTCCTTCACTCTGCCTGTCTTTGAAGAACAAAGTGAAAGTGTTCATCTTGTAAATTATCATGCATTAAGGCTGTGATGGATAACAAGCACTAGAGAAATTGTCAGTAGAGTATGAGAGTCTTTAAGAGAATAAAACATTACTACTCAGAAGCATAAACTGGAAGACTAACACTATTGTTACCTAGTACCACACTTACTTCTGAGAGTAATGTGTAAAGAGACTCTTCTATTAATTTAAAACTAGCTCCTTAACCAAAACTAAGTCTCCAGCCTAGGATTTAATAAAATTTCAGTGAACTTTCTCAATGTTAAGATTTTTTTCTGTAAAAATAGAATAGTACAATTTTGTTCCTTGAGAAAGAAATTTGGGAAACTGAAAGTATGGGACATCACTGGAAAAGAGACTCAATTGTAGTTAATGAAGAACTCTGAAACAATCACTTCAAATTTTGATTTTCTAGGTGCCGAAAAGTGAGTTCCAAAGTAGTTATAATCAACAGTGGAGGTTGATCTCAGTAGTTAGATTAATAGGCTAGCATCTGTTGCCTTGGAGTAGATCACATTTTTCTATCTTTTGTTTTTTATAACATGTTATTTCATTGACACTGTTTTGTGATATTGGAAGTCCAAGAGTAAGCTGCTATAAATAGTACTTATATGACATGCTCCTTTGGAATGTCAGGGGCCCAATAAATTGTCTTATTATAGTAATTATTTGGAATAAGTAGTAAGTCTGGGCTATAATATTAGACTAAATGCAATTTATTTTCAATTCAAAATTTGATTTAAGCTTGTCACTTACATAACTAGAAGCTTGTGGCTAATAAAGAATCAAAAAAGCTAATAACCCATTTAAAAATGGGCCTAGAACCTGAACAGAGTTCCCCCCACCCCCAAAAAATATGGCGAAGAATTATCTTCAATGGTGTTCATTGTTCCTCTGCAAATGAAAACAACTTTGAGGTTTTATTTTATCTCAGTCATAAAGGCAAAGATCAAAAATACAACCAACAGCAAATGTTGGAGGGGGTGTGGAAGAAAGAGAGCCTTTATCCACTGTTGGTGAGCTATCAAACTGGTGCATCCACTATGGAAATCATTGTTGATGGCTATTAGAAAGCTAAATATAAATCTACTATATGACCCAAGTATGTCCCAAGGACTTGACACTCTACTCCATATGCCTGGCTAAACACAAACTGGAGAATGATGATACCAATAGACATACTAAAGTAGATGGGGAAAACTCACAAGACTTCAGTCCTATACAAAAACTACAGGCAACTAAGGAATGCTGGGATCAGGAGAAATAGTCTTCCCTGGAGAACACACACACACACACACACACACACACACACACACACACAGAAAACTTATATATAGAAGTACATTATATAGACTGAATCATTTGTATTTATACCTTTAGAATGTGTATCTACTGTATACATATATGCAACAATTAAAGAAAAGGAGGTCATGAATTTGAAATCAAATAGGAGAGATTGTAGCATGAATAATAAAAACCCAGAGACAGATATTGGGGTCCAAGCTTTAGATCAGGAAAGCAAAACAGCCAACCAGTAGAGAGTTCTTACCTCTACCAAGGCTGGGGCAATCCTATCCTCAGGATGATTGCAGTCTGAATACAGCATGAGACCCTGAGCTCCTGTCTTATATACCTCTCTAGTCCTGGAATTAAAGGCATACACCACCACCACCACCCAGCCACTATGGCTAACTAGTGTGGCTGCTGGGATTAAAGGTGTGTACCACCACTGCCTGACCTCTATGGCTTTGGTGAGCTTTGCATTTTGATCTTCCAGCAAGCTTTATTACACCATAAACAATATATCACCACAAGAGATACATTGGAGGGTTGCAGGGAAGAAAAGAGTGGAAATGTTGTAGTTATAACCTAGTGATTTTATTTTCTAAGTCTTGGGATATAATTATTTAACTTCCCCTATATGTGTGCACAAAATTAAAGAGAGGCAGTAGTTAAGAAGAGATGGTTGTGAATAGGTTGAAAGAAGAGAAATTATCTGAAACTTGATTGGTAACAGTTCTTCAGGAGCCCCCATGAGTATTAGATCTAGTATTAGTTGCCAACTTGACTTGGAATCACAAGCCAGCCTCCAAATATACCTGTTAGAGTCTTGGGATGTCTTGATTAGATTGGGATGGTAATACCCAGACTAAAATTGGGTGGTACCCTTCCCAAGGCTTGCTTTCTGGAGTGAATAAAGAGAAGTAAAGTACCCTTGCTGAGTAGAAGCATTCATTGCTCTCTACTTCCTGACTGTGGGTGCAGTGGAATAAGATGCTTCAAGCTCTTGCTGCCTTTAGTTTCCTGCCGTGGCAGACTGTATCCTTGAACTGTGAGCAGCAATAACCCCTTCTTCCCTTTAAGTGAATTTTGTCAGGTTATCTTATCACAGGAACAAGAAAAGAAATAAAAATGACAGAATAGAAAGAGATCTATTTTCCCAACCAAACAATATGAAAATATTATAAGGCCACCTTTTCCTAGTATAAAGCATTCAAAATCTGAAAATCGCTCATATTGGTTTTGCTGCTATTTTGAAATGGGAAAAAAACATTTAAAGAAATTGCAACATGGATTTTAGAAAATTCATATCACCTAAAATCTATACTTAAAATGGATCTCGAATTGGGAAAACTTAATGTTTGTGCTCTTTTGAATATTGCTAGCCTATCTCAATGGAGAGCTTAATAAAATTTCATACATGGTTTTTACAAGGAAGGAGAGGGAATGCAAGAGAGAAATATTTATTAATTACATATAGTCTTACTGTCAAGTCTTTAAATTTAGTTTCAGAAAAACTATTCACTTGAATGTCCTAGATGCTTGTTATAGTGAACAACACTGAACATTTGTCAACTTGTTTTGTTTATAAAGCTCTTGACAGGGACCAAAGCACTTGATGTAAAAG